GAAACAAAAACCTAGGGAACAACTAAACAAGACTTGCTTATTTGGCTTGGCACATGACTACTTTTGGAAAAAAATTCCACTCAGAATTATAGTGTGATCTTATACAGGCCATTTGGGAAAAGGCTGAACCAAGACATTCACTTGAAAAGAGCATTACAGAGTTAACAGAATGTGTCATGTGTTAATTATAGCTGGCAGCTCTCTTTAGAGTGGAAAAAATTATTCATGTCTGATTGAGAAACATTTCTAAAGTTGTTCAGTCCACTGGGAACATTTATTTCCTCTTTGTAAAGTAAAAAGCAGTCATAGAAGTTACAATTATCTATCACACATAGTTCTGAATTTCTGAGAATTTAATCAATTTTATACATACGTATTCATCTATTCTTTTAGATGAATACACTCATTCTTTGAGCTTATCCTTTCAAAACCAAGCAGTTTAAAATCTCATTGTTTTAATATAATAGTTTTAAGTTTGCTCTCAAAATCTTTGGGGTATAAAAGTTCTTAATTTTGGCAGGGATATGTCCTGTGACAAATAGGATAACAGATAACAGATAATCAGAGTTGGAAGGGACCTTGTAGGTCATCTAGTCCATCCCCCCCACCCAAGCAGGAGACCCTACACCATTTCTGACAAATGGCAGTCCAATCTCTTCTTGAAGGTCTCAAGTGATGGTGCTCCCACAGTTTCCGAGGGCAAGCTGTTCCATTGGTTGATTGTTCTCATTGTCAGAAAGTTTCTCCTTATTTCCAGGTTAAATCTCTCCTTGTTCAGTTTCCATCTATTATTCCTTGTCTGGCCTGCAGGCGCTTTAGAAAATAGCTTGACCCCTTCCTCTCTGTGGCAGCCCCTCAAATATTGGAAGACCTTTCTCTTGTCTCCCCTCGTCCTTCTCTTTACTAGACTAGCCAAGCCCAGTTCCTGTAACCGTTCTTCATATGTTTTAGTCTTCAGTCCCTTAATCATCCTGGTTGCTCTTCTCTGTACTTTTTCTACAGTCTCAACATCTTTTTTATAATGTGGTGAACAGAACTGGATGCAGTACTCTAGATGTGGTCTTACTAAGGCTTTATAGAGTAGTATTAGTACCTCCCTTGATCTTGATTGTATCCCTTTACTGTTTCTGTTTCCTTACTTTAAAAAAAAAACCTTAACTAAATGTAAGTATGTACAATATGGCTTTTGTCAGACTTAAAGATTTATATTCAAACAGGATGAGCTAGATACTTGTTTTTATTTATTTATATGATTAAATTTATAGGTCACCTGAATCCAGTATGATATGTTTTATATAGGAATGATGGAGAACAAAGAGGATCATTATATTAGAAGACTCTTTTAGGAAGATTAATTATTGTCACAATAATTGGGGAACTTTCCAACAAGATGAGAAGAATGCCTACATATAACAGCAAAAGAGCAGGGGATGGAAAAAGAGTACACAAAAGTTAAATAAGTTTCACATGGCTTTCTGAATATTTGAATCGAATTGCTTGCTATTCTCGTGGATTAACAAAATATGGGTTAAAAAAAAGGAACCTCCTTGATTTTATTTATCCTGTATTTAACATTGTGATGTACCTTATTAGCAATTAATAAGATACACTTCTTTGTTTTCTTCTTATACCTCTTGGCTGTTTGATCTCTTGGCAGCATTCAGTAACATTGACCAATATATCCTGTTGGACTGCCTATAAGGTTTGGGAGTAAGGAGGACTTTTTAATGATGATTCTCTCCTTTTGTGGATTGTTCCAATTAAAGGCAATGAGGAAAGAACCATCAAGGATCTGCTTCAGTATTGGATGCCAGGGCCTGGCTCTCTTTTGTCTATATGAAGCCATTGGGAAAGGCCACCTGGTCAATCTGAGGGGAAGTTATCAGTATGCTGATAATACTGTTCTAGATTGTCACCCAGGACAGAAATGTTGTTGTAGCTCTCGCCTTTTGCTAATGCTTGGAGGCTGTGAGGGACTAAATTGGACAAAACAAGCCTAAATTGAATCTCAGAAAGATGGAGTTATTGGATGCCCCAATTGCAGCTCTTCCTGAGAGGCCATGGTGACAGTGATTAATGCTCTCATCCTTATGTACTTTAGACTAGAACAATGTAATCTGTGTGGGACTACTTTGGAAGTGGACTTAGACTTTGCCGTTGGAACAAAATGTGAAAGTCAGGTTGCAAGGTACTACTGATTTTGCAGAATAGAAGAGGAAGAACTGAAGATAATGCAAAAATCTGCAAATAGAAATAAAATCACTGTGGTGAAAGAAAGCAAAAAGATAGTACCAATAATAACAGGTGTCTTGGATGCAATCCTGAAATACAGTATTTGGAGCACCACTTGAACACCATTAGCACTGACAAAATGTCCAGTCAGCTGCAAAAAGTCACTTTATTTGGAATAACTTAAATCTTGTGACCTTGGTTTTAATACCATCAAATAACAACTTCTGCCTATCCCAGGTCCTTGCAAAGGACTTGATAGGTGGTTAAAGATAGACTGGCTGTGTGGCCAACCATAATAATAATTTTATTTTTGATTTCTTTTGCCACAGTCTTTTTACTTCTATTTTAGATGTTGGATAGATGGATGGACGGGTGGACAGACGGACGGATAGACAGAAGGGACTTATGTATGGTGCTGTAATTAGTCTTGGTATGAAAACTCATCTTTCTTTAATGGGCTGCAGAATCAGTACAAATCTGGGCAAGAATTGCCTCTGGAAAAAGTTGATATCTGGAGATCATATAATTTAGCAGTAGGTCAACATTTCCCCAAAGTCTGCATTTACCGTATTTACCGGACTATAAGCCGCTCCTTTTTTTCCGACGCTTTGAACCCTGTGGCTTGTACAACAATTCGGCTTATCTATAGATTTTTCTTCGCTAACTGCCATCGGGGACGCAAAAATGTGACAGACGCAAGAGGTCAATGCAAAGAAGAAGACGCTACCAGTAGTTTTTGGCGCACTTGACACAAGCAGCACGACATGCACGAACGCAAAATATTTTTCATACCCTCATCATGGAAAGTACATGAAGAAAAGCACATGATGCAACTTTTAAGTTGAAAGCAATCAATCTGTCTATCCAGAAAGGAAATAGAGCTGCTGCATATAAGCTTGGCATTAATGAATCAATGGTGAGATGTTGGAGACCGCAGCGTGAAGAACTGATTCAATGCCAAAGGACAACAAAGGTTTTCAGAGGCCATAAAAGCAGATGGCCTAAACTTGAAAACATTCTTGAGGACTGGGTGAACACAGAGAGCAGACGGCCGAGGTGTATCCACCATGCAGATCTGACTGAAAGCTAAAACAATCACCAGCGAAATGGGTATTGAAGATTTTAAAGGTGGACTGTCACGGTGTTTTAGATTTATGAGATGAAAAGATCTGTCCATCAGGGCGCAGATGACTGTCAGCAACTCCCTTCCGACTATGAGGAAAAAGTTGCAAACTTCCACAAATTTATTGAAACAAAACTAGCCGAGAATTCCATTAGACCAGATGACATCATAAATATGGATGAAGTACCTTTAACGTTTGACCTGCCTCTAACTAGAACTATTAACAAGACAGGAGCGTCATCCATTATGGTGAAAACAATTGGCCACGAGAGAACACATTTCATGTGTGTTTTGAGCTGCACCACATCCAGACAGAAGCTTCCAAAGATGGTGATTTTTAAGCGGATGACTATGCCAACAGAAAAACTCCCGAAAAGAGTGGATGATAGAAAGCCTAATGACTGAATGGCTGACAGAATGCTACAGTAAGTGCCCAGGAGGATTTTTTCACTGGAAAAAATCATTGCTTGTTTTGGACAGTATGAGGGCCCATATAATAGATTCTGTGAAAGCAGCCATCAAGAGAACAAACTCAATTCCAGCTGTGATTCCTGGAGGTACAACTAAGTTTTTGCAGCCACTTGACATCAGTGTGAATCATGCATTTAAAGCGCCACTCCGAGGTGAGTGGGAGGCTTGGATGACCAGCGGTGAGAAATCATTCACAAAAACTGGCCGCATGCGAAGAGCATTCTTCTCTTTCTCTGTAAATATCTCATTTCACAACGTATATATCTGCGGCTTATAGACTGGTGCGGCTAATATATGTAAAAAAAAAAATTATTTTAAAATTAAGTGGGTGCGGCTTATATTCTGATGCACTCTATAGTCCAGTAAATATGGTAGTCTCAGAATACCTTTTGGCGGTAACATGTGAAAGTTGAAATGTAAAACTAGGCTTGGCTTATAATAATCATTATTTATTACAAGCATCAACATATTGCATCTTCTTAAATAAATCAGAGCAGTTGCAATCACCTTTAAAAACAAGAAAAAAATAATCTATCTTCAAAATAAATATTTAAGCATAATTTTACATCTACACACACTCCCTAGCCCAAACCTGGGGCTGGAGGGGAATGCAACATCTCAGCTTTGCTAAAGACTCCAAATATTACCCAGTTACCATGGTTCTTCTCATTCCAATGTTTGCTATACCTCTCGGTTTAAATAAATCTTGTAAAAAAAAAAAAATCAATATAGCTCCTCTATGCATTTGATGAAGCGAACTGCCATTTATGAAAGTGTATACCTTTTAACAATGTGTTAACTGGAAACAATGCTACAAGGCTTCTTCTGGTGTTTTGCTACCGTAGACTAACGTGGTTCTCCTCCAACTTTTGTGTAATTCTAAGAAATTCAGGTCTATTTTCAAGAACAGAAGGAGTAAATTGTAGATGGGCCTTCTCCTTCTCGTGTTGCAGAACTAGATCAATCATTTCCCCTCTCGCTCTTGATTTAAGCCTGTAGCGTAATCAGTGGTGGGATTCAATTTTTTTTTACTACCGGTTCTGTGGGCGTGGCTTGGTGGGCGTGGCAGGGGAAGGATACTTTAAGATCCAGTCACAAGTGGTATTTGCCGGTTCTCTGAACTACTCAAAATTTCTGCTACCAGTTCTCCAGAACTGTCAGAACTTGCTGAATACCACCACTGAGCGTAATCAAATAGTTTAACATGTGAAGGATCAATTTTTTGACCCCCAAACTACACAATCAAGCCCTAGATTACAAATTAGCTCAATTTGTTATGATCAAAAGGTGGGGGTGGATGGAAGGTCCAAGCATTTAGCCTGAGATTAATTAGGGCACAATCCTTAGGCCTCTCCCTTGCATGCCAATGCTGACAGGGATATTTTGGATTTCCTCTCTGGGTTCTCATCTTGGAAAGAAGAATTTGGAACCTGATCCTCTTTCTCCTGTTCCCCATAGCCTCCATTGCTGGCTGCTTCTGTCTGTGTCTGAGGGGTGGAAAAGACAAATTCCAGATTTGTTTCTAGCTTTGCAAATTGTTTCCAGGCCCGAGTTTGGCTGTAGTTCTTGAAACTCTGCTTCAGTATAATATAAGATTTCTGGCTGGATAGCTCAGGCTTCATTTTAAAGCATTCCATTAACATAGGAAGAACTCAGACCAAGCAAGTGTTTTATATTTCTCCCAGGCGAAGGCAGACACTGTTTATGTTAAATGGTTCTAGTGCTCCTCCCATCAAACTAGTTCTAAACAAGCAAGAGAAGTGAAGACACCTTCAGTCTGAATTTAACTCCTGGTGAGTGCACCAATATATCCACAGCACAGTATTCTTGACCACAAGCCAGAAATGATTTAGTATTGCCATCTTCTGAGACAGTTTTTTTTTTAAAAAAAGCTTCTCAGTATAGTTTACAATCCTGGTATTCCTGGGAGGCCTCCTCCACATATTAACCAGACCCAATACTGCTTAGCTCCCAAACCCAGACAAAGTTAGTCACACGCCGCCAGTTGCGGAGACCAAATAACAAACAAACAGCCTGTTACAGCAATGACTAAATAAACTTCAGAATCTGAATAGGACTCTGATTGACCATAACATATGGAATTGGTTACTGTAGTTATTTATTTTTGTTTTTTGGTCAGGAAAGTACTTTAAAAGAATTCATTGTTTGGCTCCAAACTTTATCTTGGTTGCAGTAAGCATCTTCTTCCTGCAGTGGAAAATGAGGACACAATATCTAAAGTAAATGGATTGCATTAAAGTAAAGTTGCTTGGAAGCCAGTTTGGCATGCAAATGGGATAAATTTCTATTTCACTCTATCCTGCTCTATATAAAATGAAAACAGCAGAACCAAACTGTGAAATGCCATTCACATAATTAAGAATAGAATGTTCTTTTGAAAATATATAACAAACACGGAAGGCCTTACTGAGATCAGAATATTAATTTGGTTGGCTTTAACCCTTTGCCTCCCTCGCCCCAAATATTGGTTGGAGCTCTGATGTTTGCTGTTGACATAGGAAGAGAAACTTCCTTCCATAACAAGAAGTGAGGGGTCCTTGGTAGTCTCTGAACTTGGTTGTTTTCTTGCAGACATTTCATTACCCAATGAAACAAACAATGAATTGTGTAATGAAACATCTGCAAAAAAACAAGCAAATTCAGAGGGCACCAAGGACCCCCCATTTCAACCCTGAGCTATAAATATTCTCCTTTATTGATACCAACAAGTGCCATTTCTCCCCTCCTGTCTCTCTTCCTATATCCTGATCTGCACTGGATTCTACGTATTTCTTATCTCTATTTTAAAAGTACAGTGAGCAATTTGTATGAATGACATGAATATGCAGCTTGAACAAAAATAGACAATTAAAAACAACCTCAATTTCTCGTTCAGAATAGGCTAATATAAGTGTAGGCAGTTAGACCACCTAGTGTTCATGAGGGTGCATTTGTATCAAAGTACCAAAAATAGCAGTCATATTTTCCAACACACAAATGCACAAAACACTTCACAGTTGCAAAACAATTCTTTCCAGTATTGGGACAATCAACTTCACATCTTGAACTGCTGCAACTTGTATGCCAACATCCTAGTTCAATTGAGAGTATATTATCCTACTGTCTCTGTGTATGGTTCTCGAGCTGCACAGTGGCAGAGAAAAAGGCAATTCAGAGGGTGATTAAGATGGCCCAAAACATCATTGGCTGCTCACTCCCCTCTTTGGAAGAACAGTATAGGAATAGATGTAAGAGGAAGATATTTAATATATTGAATGACTCCTCTCATCCGGGACATCAGCTCTTTGAACTATTACCATCAAGAAGGAGATTCAGGGTATTAAGAACAAGGACGACTAGATTTAAGAACAGTTTTTATCCAAGTGCAGTTTTGAGTTTGAATGCAGGGTCATAAGATTTTTGTGGAATTTAATGGCTGAGAGTAATGGGGTATTTACATTTTTAAATTGTATAGAGATTATTGTATGGTCTGTTGTGTTTAATTTTATTTTTCTTTCAATGGTGTTGTCCAGTTTTACTTGTGGAAGAGCACCTCATTTCGTTGCACCCGCTTGCGAGTGTAATGACAAATAAATTCTTATGTCTTATGTCTTATGTCTAGATACCCAACAATCTGCTCTCAGGCACGCAGCATGTGCGCATGCGCAGTGGGGCTCTTCCTGGCAACCTCTTGCATGCCGGCAGAAGTGGCTCTGCATGCTACTTCTGGCATGCGTGCCATAGGTTTGGCATCAAGGCCTTAAGACTGTTCCTTTTCACCATTCCTTGTCTTTTTCTTCCTGTGCAAAAATATGTGGAACGCTATTTTTATTTTGACCTTACTTAAAAAGAAATTGTAGCTGTTTAATGAACAAAAATATGATTTCCGCTTGAATGCAATTGTTAATTTTTATTCCAGAGATAGAGATTGCTTTTATATAGAGTAGCAGAAAAGATATACACATAGGGTTTTTAGTTTTAAATTAATAATGTAACTCACATTACTTGTTTCATTCCACTGCAAATCAAACTGCTCACTTGTTTTCATAACTTCAGCCATTTGTTATTTAATGTCTTTTGATATATCATGAATATATGTATGAAGAGTGTCACTTGACATTAGTATCTATTCACTTTTCTTGCAAGATCAGCCCCACAAGTCATGTCTACCATGTCTCTATCTCCTGATTTCAGGAGGTCCCCATCAATAGCATATCATTTATTTTGCTTTGCAGTCTGTCAAGCAGCATGACAAAAACAAAGATTAGGTTGCTGCATAGGATACAGTGTTTCGCTTTATAGGTTGGAGTGTCCAATCTCTGTTGTTAAAACTGTTCTTCCCTTTCAAAGTTTCTCTATTCGTTGCCAGCAAAAGTCCTTGTTTAATTTTAAGTTGCTCTTTAGCTTATTCTGCTTTAGAAATTCATTAATTAGAACACATATCAAACACATGTGAGAAAAGTGAATCTTATCTCTTTAAAAATCTTCTTTATACTGATTTAAGGATTTGCCTATAGATGGGTTATGGGATGAAGAGTTATCAATTTTGTTTTTACTTGTTATGAAGTAAAAGTCATTTTTGGAAGTCATTACTTTCATTTTTATCTTTTTCTTTATACTTCTTTTTCTTTCTTTGCACTTTATTTTTTTATTTTATTTTATTATTTTATTTCTCCCCCCCCCCCCCCCAGTTTAGTCTGTATATGCTTTTACTATTAAATTCTTTAATAACAAATTAATCAAAATATTTAATGAAAATTATGAAAAGTTCTACTATTTGTATTTATTTAGCATGACCAAAGTTCTAAATTCCAGCATGAAGCTTCACTGAAAGTGGTTTAGATAATCCACATCCTCCGAAGTTCTCATCAGCTGCAGGGCAAACCTCTCAGCAACCTACACCAGTAAAGGAAGGTTGGAATAGTTGATAGTTATCAAAGGTCCAGAGATGGCCTCTTTAGAGGGCACCACTCTTTCAAGGCTGAGGGCACGCACCACCCCAACCATCAAGGAAGCTGATGCTGTAGAAGGGACTCAATCACAGCTCATCTTCTTGGCTACTTGACAACATGGAGAGTTGTCTTATTTCCTCAGGAGTAACTGATTCAAATGCATCCTGGAGGCCCCAGGCAACTCAGCCTACCTGTCCAGTCAGAGTCCAAGGTGAAACAAATCTGCCAGACAGCCTGAATAATCCTCCCAAGGGCCCAGCAGATTTTTTTTTTGAGAGGGCTCTTCTTACCCAATAGGGACTGGTTTACCTTAAATAGAAGTGTTGGCCAGCTATCAGGGGATAGAGTAAGGGTGAGAAAACATTGGCAATTTATCACTTTATTGCCACAATCTCATGTTAGAGTTAATCTCTAATATGAGATCCAGTTTGGTGTAGTTTCTATGCCTAGCCTGAGCCTAAGGCATCATGCTAGAAACTGGGATACCATGAGTTCCAGTCCTGTCTCAGGTACAAAGCCTTTGTCTCAAGGAAGGAGGCAATGACAAACCTCCTCTGAAAAACCTTGACAAGAAAACTGCAGGGACTTGTTCAGGCACTCTCCAAGAAATGGACATGGTTGGTTGGATGGAAGAAAAAAAAACCATTCCAATATAGACTCTTTCCCATGTCTAGTCAGACTCAGTGTGGCTGATATAAGAGACCAAGAAATGGTTAGTATCAGAAGTAAATAAGACAGATTAATCAGGGAGTGTGAATGTTGTTAAAAATGAAAGAGATGGAATCTTTATCTCTATTGCTATGATGACCCAAGGACTACTGTTGTGCTCTGCTAATATATAAGTAGGGAGAATGCACACAAAAACTACAGGAGATTTCATTTTTTTAAGTGTAGCTGTTAAGTGTGACAGAGTTGTTGGTAGAATTTTGACTGAAATAGTATGAGAAGTGACAATGAGCAACATTTGGGGAGTTTTAGGCAGAAGGTTTTCAAAACAGATTTTTGCTTTCCAGCAGATAAACTGAGAAATATAATAAAAGTTTATTATATAATAGGTTTAGGGAAGCCATTTAATGAATAGACTTGAATTATATAGTATTTTTTCAAGGGAATGAAATTGAAGTATGGTTGATGAATGCTTCCATTATGCAGTGCTTGAATAACAAAACATAAATTGAATTATTAGAGGTGGTTCAATAGTAAGTCAAGGATTCTGTGTTCTTGATTTAATATCTTTATGGATAAATTTATGTGGAATGGTTGTGGTAGTCATAGAGTAATATTTGTGGGGATGTGAATCAGTGGTGGGATTCAAATAATTTAACAACCGGTTCTCTGCCCTAATGATTTCTTCCAACAACCAGTTTACCAAACTGCTCAGAAAGTTAACATCCGGTTCTCCCGAACTGGTGCGAACTGGCTGAATTTCACCACTGATGTGAATGTAGGCGTAACACAGTATGCAGTTGATATTGTGTTGTTAGCTGAAAACTCAAATAATTTCCAGTGAAAATTCAATAAATTATATAATGCAATGTGGAATATGTTTCTGATCAAAGACCACTAAGTAAATTTGGCAGAGAAAAGGGAGTGACAAGTGAAGAAAAACTAAAGCAAATAGATGAATGTCTGTGTTTTAGTTGGGTTCTTGGCTGATTTTGGAGACACATTTAAAAGCCAGCGTGTAGATTAAATACCATAATAGTTTTATGCAGGAGTTCTCATTTTTTTTAATGGAAAGATATTACAAAATGATAAATGAACTTGCATGCCCACAACTTGTTGATAAAATGAATGACATCATTTGGGTTAAGGATTTCAGGAAACCATCACACTACTTCCTCTAAGATGCAAAACTTCCATAATACTTTCTTGATTTAGCTTAACATTACCAGTGCATTAGTCATTAATTTTACTAATATCTTCCTCTGAAATCTGTAGGGTAGAAATATACTGTTACATGCTACATCAGAAATCACTATTATCACTATTAGCTCTGACAAATGGCTAGATCCAATATTTTAACTATCTCTCAAAACTCATGCTGGGCTTTGCCATGTAAACCTGATACGTGCTTGCATTGGCAAGACAGGAGTACATTTTGATGGAGGGGTCTTTGGTGCTCTCTGAGCACCAAGGACCCCTCGTTTCAACCTGAGCTACAAATATTCTCCTTTATTGGGGCATTTTTATCATGCTCTCACTTTGCCTGGGTTAAAAAATGCTATGACTCTTCCTCCCCTTTTAAAACTGATTGACTCCTGGTATAAATAAATAAAGAGCCTCGGTGGCACAGTGGTTAGAGTGCAGTAGTGCAAGACTATTTCTGCTGACTGCCGGCTACTTGCAATTTGACAGTTTGATCCTGACTGGCTGAAGGTTGACTCAGCCTTCCACCCTTCTGAGGTGGGTAAAATGAGAACCCAGTTTGTTGGGGGCAATAGGCTGATTCTGTAAACCACTTAGAGAGGGCTGTAAAGCACTATAAAGCAGTATATAAGTTCAAGTGCTATTGCTATAAATACTATGTGTGGTTTTACTAGAATTGTAGGAATTGCCAAACTTTTGGATCCATTCCTACAAAACAGTTGGCTGGTCATGATTTGGAAGGCTTGAGGTTTGGTTTCCTCTTTCTTGCTCTGCTTGGATTTTTTTTCTTTGGCGATTTATTCATATGTTGACTTTTTGTAAGCATCTGTATCATGAACTGATAGGACTGAGTACTACTTTGGATTCAATGGGTACTTTTGTAGCACATGGAGAACTTCATGACCCCTGTTGGTAGTCCCTTGAAGCAACTATGTCTTCCCAGGATTGCATGAGTGCCTTCTAGGGCTGCAGCATATGCTGGAAAAGGTACATTTGTGGAGCAGTTGCTGTTGGATGCTCTGTGAGTGCCAGAGATGGTATTCTGCAGGTTCTGACCAATTCTGGAGAACCAGTAGCAGAAATTTTGTGTAGTTCAGAGAACCATCAAATACCACCTCTGACTGGCCCTGCCACCATCTATTCTCTGCCTCCTGAGTCCCAACTAATTGGTTGGATCTTCTTTTGTTGCCTTGCACAGGAGAATGAAGCTGGAAAGCAGGTTAGTGGGACGGGGAGGGAATGGGATTTTGCTGTAACCTTCCCCTAGGAGTGGGGAGGGAATAGAGATTTTACAGTATCCCTCCCCTGTCATGCCCACCAAGCCACACCCACCAAGCCACACCACACCACACCACACCACGCCACCAAGCCACGCCCATAGAACCGGTAGTAAAAAAAATTGAATCCCACCACTGGTGAGTGTCCATGAATCACTAAAGTATCGTTTTCTCTGTGAATCTAAAGGGGCACAGCACTACTCTAACAATTGACCGGTTACAAATGACAAGTCTAATATTTTTCATGACACCTATTAAAGAAAACTTGATGTACAGTATATCCTCAGAGCTAACAGGTTTTCACTTCCTACAGAAAGTTAAAAATTTAGGTTATTGGACTGAAATTTCTCAATCAATACTTGTCTTGGAAGAAAAGACTGTGAATGGTTTTCATTGCCTTTACCAGACAGAGCAAAGCTGAATGCATGGGAAGTCACACTCAATTCCATAAATTTCTTTAATAGTCCGGCTTAAATGATTATGAACTTTAGATGATTGAAATGAAATCCAGTGATGATGAAACAAACCAAAACTCAATTTCTGTCATAGTAGCAAGACTGATACTTACATTAGACAGATACTGTTAAGTTATCTCCAGAAGTTTATTTAAATCAAAAAAGTATACAAAAGTGTCAGTAAGGTTTAAATTCAGGTACTGCAGCAGAACCAACTATGCTGAAAATCGATGGACAAAAAATAAAATAAAAGCTGAGCATTTTCTCTCATTCATCTGGCAGAATTTTAAAAGATGTTTGCTAGTTAATGAGTTTAGAGTTCTGTTTTGACTTGCTATTTTGGGGGGCCCAAATGATGGCTTTGAGTTGCTGGATATGCTTGTGGTTGAACCATTCTTGCTGCTGGGTTTATGTCATGCCTTTGTGTTTACAGTCAATACTGTGTGCTTCTGAGGTCCTGGCTGAGCACCATTTTAAATAGCCTATCAACAAATAGTGCAGGCTTCTTACTTGCCTCTTTACTCAACTATATTTGGAACAGGTCATTGGTGGGGAGAAAACAGGTGACAAGGAGAATAAGCATCACGCATTGTTCACTCACATCTATGGAAAGTCCTGGTCCTTCTTCTGTGCAGGTCAGAAGCCAGTTTCAGATAGCTTTGCCAGGACATATTTGCCCTTTCGATCCAAATTGTTCTTACAATGGATAGAGTACCAAAGGAATGAAGTTAATGCCATCCCATAAATCTAGACAAAATGAATAAATGACAAGGAAAGAAACATTTGAAAATATATAGGTCCAATAGAACATTTCTGCACTGTTCTTCCAAGCTATGAGAACAGCGGCAACAAAATGCAGTTACAACAAAACCAACCTCTTGAAGTAGGAATAGAGTACTTTTTTAGACCAAGGTCCATATTTTCTCATGGATAATTTGTTGGAGAATGCCTACAAAGCCACGAGTTGGGTGTCACCCAGCCACATCCATACTATACACAACATCTATCCATGCATCCTTCTCCATGCACAGTGTATTTTATCTCCTTTCCTTCCTCAATATATAAAAATGCTCAATCCATTCTGTAAGACCAGGCAGAATGGATTGGGCTTGAAATGACTGAGAAAATGAACGTCTTTCAGAAAAATAAACTAAAAGTAAACTCTAAACTAAAAATAAACTTTCACTTCTTCCAGGACAAGTCTCCGTAGTCCTGGAATACATGGCTAAAATTTTCTTCTAATCTATCATAAGAAGTTGGTGAACCAACTACTACTGCTATTCAAACCAGCTTCAAGCTGGCTGAGAGAATAACACCTGCTGACTAGAAACCAACTGGAGAGGCCATTCCAGTGGGAAGAGGTAGTCGCTATGAATAGAAAAAAATGCTGATCAGTAAGTTGACATCGCGTACCATTAGCAGAAAGGAGTGATTTGCAAAGCCTTGTAACACCCTCAATAATTCCACGAAAGATGGAAAGATTAATGCAAGGAAGGAGGCAAATGTTCTTTTCAAAGGAGAAGATCAATACTTGATGTTCTTAAAACATAATTAGGAAACGTTGCAATCTTTCATCTTAATTCTTACACTGCTATCCCTTCTTTCTCCTCAAAGCAGTTTCCCAGAAATCCATTTCTTTTATACTCTAATGCAGCTACTGGCAATTAAAGAAACCAATAATAAAATGCAATAAAAGTCTAAAAGAGAAGGGAGCAACAAAACAAGATAAAGCAGATGCAGATAATGCAATTACCTGTGTATATGCACTTTCTGTCATTATATTAATCCTAAATCAGCTGCAAAATAGAATATGCAACACAAAGACTTTGATCCAGTCATCATGATTTGGGGAGGGGGGAAAGCAAGACACTACCTATAGTGGAGTTTATCTTAAGAAACTGCAGTGGGGAACAGCTTTATCTGACCTCGGTGTCAAAATTCAAGTAGGTTAAAAAAATATTGCTCATTAATTCTTTTCTAATTATATAATGACAAGGCCTGAGCTTGTCTTGACATTCAAGCTGGGAAAGAAATATCTATATTGGACTGACAGATGGCACGCAGAGCCATTTGTGCTGGTATGCGAGCCGCAGGCAAACTTAACCTCACTGCGCATGCGCGCACTTCACAGCTGATTTTCGGCAGGTTTGAAACCTTTTTCGGCCTCCCAGAGACTTGAAAAAAACCTCTGCAGGCCAAAATAGGCTTGTTTCATCACTTCCTGTAATACTGGAAGTGATGAAATGGTCCTATTATTCGGCCTGAAAAGCCTTGCAGAGGCTCAAAAAGACCTCAAACCAGCCAAAAATCAACTGTGAGGCATAGTGCAGATAAGAGGGCGGTGTGGGGGAATTGCACACGCATGCGCAGGGAGTGCGCATTGCCTTCTGGGTGCTGGCACGTGAGCTCATGAGCACCAGCGCGTGCATAATTTTTGGCACAGGAGCCCAGAAAGGTTAGCCATTACTGTGATATAGTATATGCATACAGTATTGGCATATACATTTTGCAGTTTAATCCAATACAAATCTAAGTCAAATCCCACTGAATTTACTGAAGTTTCATTTTGCATACAGGTGCATGGAGCAGTAATGTTTCTCAGCTGATTAATACAATTAATCAATTAGAAGAATTTCTTGATCATTTAATACGGCATATTTATTTACAGGACAACCTAATGTTGTTTTTAGTTCATTAACTTAAAAGAAACTATTGGCAAACACTATTAGAGGGTAGGTATGTATATAAAAAACAAGCAAATATTATTTTATAAAAGAAAAATGTTTACCTCTATGCAAATTTATGCAGGTCTCATGTAGATTTGTATTTATAAATGCAGTGGAGTAATAAATGGATCATTAGAAAACAAAGAGTTATATTTCTTGGTGAAAAAAATTAAAATCATCTAAAATCATGGCTGAATGATACTTTTATTAGTAAGTTAATTCCTATAAGCTAATACTATGGAGTTCTAATTGGTTATTGGTTGGGTTCACACATCACATAAAGCCATAAACCTTGATCCACAAGGCAGACCTCTGGGCTAAATTTAGTGGTAAACTCGAATTAAATAAATCACATATTGGTTTAAAATGATGGTGTAGATCTTATTATGAAAGATCAGAGAGAACCAATATGGAAACACTTCTGCTAGATCTAGGACAGTGATTCACTGATAGGGATCAGAGAGATAGACTGTATTCAGTGGTATAATTTCTTCAGAATAACAGAGCTGGAATTTCTTATTTTCAGAAAATAAAACTGTAATGCCTAATAATCATGACAACCAAAATGATTTCTCCTTACTTTCTGGTTGGGATAAGTGGAACCTGCCATAATGCTAGGAAGGAGATGACTTTCTGGTTGGGATAAGAATGAAGAGAAAAAACTAGTTGAAGAATAGCCACATAAAGGAGAATATTTATAGCTCAGGTCTGAAAGGAGAGGCCCTTTGCACTCTCTGAGCTTGCTTGTTGTCTTGCAGATGCTTCATTACCCAAACTAGGTAATATGTTACCTAATTAGCATGGGTGTGATGCAAATATTTTATTATTTATGGTTATGTGGGCATAGCTAGGTGGGAATGGCTAGGTGGGCATGGCCATGTGACTGGGGGGTGGCTTCTTTTTTTGTGCAGCACCCCCTCATGCCTTTTGGAGCCCAGGGGGATGGTTTGTGGGACCCCCCACTCCGTTTTTTTTCCTTCCTGTGCCTCAGGGAAGCCTCCTGGGTGGGGGGCTCCCAGGAGGCTTCCCTGAAGCGCAAGAAGGAAAAAAATGGAGTGGGGGGGTCCCACACACCATCCCCCTGGGCTCCATTTTTTGGCCTCCTGGGCCTCAGGGAAACCTCCTGGATGAAACAGTAAGATAGCAAGGGGAATGCTGGGATAGCTGATAGTCAGAACAGCTGATCTTCAGGAGGGAAAAAAAGAAATACCAGTTTGGCCAAATCGGCAGCTGTTTTTTTTACCCGTTCAGCTGAACAGTAGCATTTTTTTATTATCAGTTTGCCCAAACTGGGCCGAACCAATAGAATCCCACCATTGCTAGTTAAGAGTAATGAAATGTCTGCAAGAAAACAAGCAAGCTCAGAGAGTGCCAAGAGCAGCCACATTTCCGCACTAGAAATTATGTTGGACTGGACTATCCCAAGAATAATTCAGTGCAGACCAAGTCATTTATGGGGCTCTGGATTTGATCCTCATTTATTTGTTTGTTTGTTTGTTTGTTTGATTGATTGATTGATTTTTGTGCCATCCATCTCACCCAGAGGAAACTCTTTGCACTTAGATGACCATAGAGAAAAAGTCTGAGTTCAAAAAAAATAATTTAGCTCTTGTAGTTCTTTTGGTTTAACCAAAACTTAAATTTTACTCAGCAAAAATGCAACTTTTGCTGAACTTTAGTTCTATCTCTTTGCTCAGTTTTCAATCTGCCTCAATAGGAGCCCCCCACCGCCGAGAAAGAGAGAGAGGGGGGGGAGAGAGAGAGAGAGAGAGAGAGATACTGGAACACAAGAGTTACCATGAAGTAAACTGTGATGGTCATCAGTACAGAGATAATGTCCATATGCTTTTTCAGGAAGTATTTGATTTCTTGGAGACAATCCTGCAATTTGAAAAAAAAATAGACTTAATATCCATTATGTGGGAGTAAATAATAGTTGAAAGAAATATCCTTTTGGGTTCAGTTCCAAGTGAGGAAAAAGACACTGGAATCACGGAAGTTGCTTGGAAAGAAGGTTTATTGATGAACAGGATCACATACCTTGGACATCTTGGATGAAAAAAGGGGAGAGATGCTGAGAGTCCCTGGGTTTTATATCCTCTCTGGCTTTGAACTTCCTGGGGCACAGGAAGAGTATCTTGATTGGTTGCTGTCAGAGGTTATAGCTAGCTTTGTAGGTTGTCTGTGTGCTAAGTTTGGTTGAAACTTGGTGGGTGGTACAATGAAGGGCAATTAAACAACTCTGCCTGAAGGAGGTAGATCTTTGTTATGTAGAATATGGCCCAGGCCTTATGGCCCATTAACAAAGGTGGGAGGGCTGAGTTTCTGCCTCTCTGAATTTCTACTTTTCTTTCAGGGGAAATATTATGCCTTTTTAACATATCCTAAAATATTTCATTTTTCTAGGAGAGCTTTATTGCTACGTTGTAAAGTGAAAAGAAAGAGATTTTTATTTGGATAGTGAGGTGGTTTGAAGATAGGCTTTCCACTCCATTTCATGCACTATGATGCTCATTTCAATTCTTATCTATGCTGGAAATTAAGGTAGAATTTAGATTTTATTGTAAGCTTTACATTTAGCATGATGTGTTGCCTATCTGTTACAAATTGGAAAACTTCTTAAGTGGAACTTCACTTAATATTAAACTGAAAGATTTAGGAAAGGAAGTTAATAAAAGCAATTGCCAGGCCCAGAGACTTGGCTTCTTGGCAACCTATCAAATAAAATAAATTTTAAAAACAAATAGGCAGCAGCAGACTCCAACCAAAAAAAATTTCATTTATTTTTTGAAAACAAACATTTGAAAGATGCTACCACTGAGGTCTGTAATATTCATATTATTATGTCTAGTATTGCTGGCTACACTTGCATTTTAAATTCTACAATTTAAAATACAAATGATCTTCAGAATAAAAATGAAGTTTCACTTAATTTAGGTGAAAGATGCTGTGCAATTATAAGTATTTTTGCATTACCTCAAATGCCGTACTAGAAAGGCCTGTAAGGTAATTCAGAATTAATCATGATGTCATCTTATTATTTTGGGGGCTTTCTGTCTCTGTTCCATGCAAGGAAGTTCACAATAAAATGAAGTCAGGTTGTATAGTTTGCTATGCTGAACACCTTAGTAGGAAAAGGGTAAAACAGGAAGTGCAATATAATTACTTTTGCAATGGCTAATCATTAACTATTATACTGTATCTCATTCTGGTTTACAGGATAATATTATTAGTCTTTTTATTAAATTTATTTGCTGCCTATCTCATGGTGACTCTGAGTGGCTCAGACTCATCATAACCTGGATCTAAGAGTATACATCTTGTTTTCAAGAACAAATCAGCATGTTTCATCTTTGGGCAATAATTATCCAGGGAAACCTCTAGCATATTCTTCCCACAAATCTCCTCTCAGAAGAGAACAAATAAATGTTCTTTCAAAAAGCTTTTTCAGTACAATCTCTCTCTGGCTCAACCACTGAGTTTTATGGATGATCCAGATGCCCTCATAACTCATTTGTAATGGCCCTGTGTTTTCTCACTGTTGCATCTATTTAATTAACTGCTGAAAGAGCAGATCACTTACTTTGGATTGCAGAGTCATTTTGAGTTTTGCAAAGCAAGTTCTTTCTTCTCTCTCAGGGCTTCTCTAAGCTCACAAAACAGGAAGAGATTCTACAGAGTCTGACTAAATACGTGGAAGGTCTGGAAGCAAGACTACAAATTACTGGAATTTGACTGCCTTTGATTCATGTTTTAAATAAAATGTCCATGTGAACACTGGAACAGAGGAAATCCTACTTTTGTTTTAATGGAGATAAAACTGACATACTTTACATTTTATTCATTTCGGCTATTCCTTTCCAGTAGGATTAATAAAGCAGTGAAGGTTTGTTTGTTTCTTAAATTCCCATAAGCCTTCTCAAAAGGCAGTGAAACAATTTGATAATTCAGCCTCTAGTGTTGATAATGTATGCTCAACCTTCCTACCATGGTACCATGAAAGCAATAATTTTAAGTCCTGAACCCTAGGGCTGCAAGATGATTTTCACACCCAAGCACTATATGCTTCAAAAATGCCAAGAATGCCATTTTTATTAGTGCTGTTCAGAGGTTTACTATATTTTTTTGGAACTATGCTTCACCCTACAATGCCATGATGAAAGTGACTGTATTCTATTCAGAGTGACATTGTATTCTAACTTCATAAGAGCTGCTCAGAAGCCTGCTTAATAGCAGAACACCGGACAAAGATTGAAATGGGGGGATTCTAATGTTACTCCCATACTGTAAAAAAAGAATGCTTGAAGAGAAAGGAATTGCCTCACAATACAGTTTTCTATTACCTCTTCTTCTATTTCCAGAATTTCTGATGTACACATTTCATATTCTGTGTTGTTTCTTTCTCCAAAGGGCGATTTCTTCCCACAACATAGAAACTAAAATAGAATTTTAAACATATTATTTATTTAGACATAAACCAGATTGGAGTTAAAATAAAATATAGCTACGAATTTTGAGTTCTAAAAAAAGTGAATTTTGTACAGAACGGAGGCAAGAACTGTTAAGTATAAGAAGCAGAAATTTCTTAGATAGCCCTAGATATTTTAGTTAGATTTTTTTAAAAATGATCTGACAGGAAAATATTTCATTTAGTCATCTTTTGTAGAGGACTTATATAGAACTCTCCTCCCACAAATGTCTTCTTCATTTTGAGTATTTTTCATATATTCAGAATACAACTATTTTTCATGCCTCATTCATTAACTATCCTCTCATTCAGAGTTACTATGCTGAGTTGCAGATGTCATTCAGTTACAGCATGTTGCACCTTCCTTCCATTTCCTTCTGTTAGTTAGCTTCTATTGTAAATTCCTTGGTAGGGTAAACTTTTTCCTCATTTAGAAATATGCTGCACATGTAACTGTATGGGAAAAGTAGGAATTGGTGTGTTTAATGACTAAGCAAAATAATTCTTTTCTGAAGGCTCAAAGAGGTGAGAGCAACTCCAAATGAAGCCTCAGAAAAGGGCCAACATAAATTTGAACTAATTGTGTAGGAAACAAAATATAGTTTATCTCTTCAGTTCAGTGGAATTGTTGATGTTTGCTGTACTAATTATTGTTCCAGCTGCTAATCTATTTTCCCCAGTAAACCACAGAGAAAAAGCTAAAAGACTTGTCAATGTTACAAAAAGCTAAAAGACTTGTCAATGTTACAAAAAGTGCCATGTTTATTTCAAAGCTGATAACTTTGAAATAGAGATTTGCCTGTGCCAGAATCCATTTTTTTTTTTTTTGGTGCCAAGAATGGTATTGTATTCTCCCAAGCTTTTGGACTATTATTTTCTTTTTAAACATACTATATTTTAGACACTACGTTTTATATTTATTTGTATGGCTTTTTTTTCTTTTTACCCATTCTCTGAAATAAATAAAGGGAAATAAACAGGGGTGGGCTGCTGGGAGTTCGCAGGGATTCGGGAGAGCCCCTAGCTAAGATTCTGTGCAGTTCAGAAAATCCCCAAATCCCACGCCTGGCTGGCCCTGCCCATCCTGCCCCTCCCCGCCCCTCCCAGGAGTCCCCACGTGGCCCATTTTGGACGCATGTAAGTGCAGGGCGTGCATGAGGCTCAGGGAAGGTGAAAAATGGGCCTCCCGGAAGTTCGGGAAGGCTGGAAATGGACCTGTTTCCAGCTTCCAGAGAGCCTCCAGAGCCCGGAGAGGCCATTTTTACCCTCCGGGAGGCTCAAAGAAAGCCTCCGGAGCCCAGGAAGGGCAAAAATGCCCCCCTGCCATGGTGCAAGAGGCCAACTAGGCCACACCCAGCATGGCCACATCCACCCAGCAACCGGGCAGAGAACCCTTTTCTAAAATTTTTGAACCCCACCCCTGGAAATAACTCTAAGGAATTTAATATTTTCAGGTCTCTTCAAGTCTCTTACAGAAAGCAATTCAACTTTCTCCATTTAAATCAGTGGCTGAAATGCCCTTATCTTGCATCAGATTATTACCAAAACATGATTAGTTTCATATTATTCAAAATGTGAAATGAATTCTGCTGAAATAAAATATTGGATGGCCATTGGAACCGGTTTTGTTCAAAATGCCTCAACCAGAGGTCTCCTTCATTGAATTGTCACTGATAAGTTGCCCATTGCTATCCCAACTGACAGTTCTGGGACAAAAGAGAAAGAATAAAAAGTGAACCAAGCTGGAGCAAAAATAATCTATTCCAAAACTAGCAGTAACTTACTATCTTGTGAATGGAATATAGCTCATGCCTTCTGGTGCTGGAAATGTTGTTTCTCACATCTTCATAAACAGCATCATATACATCAATCATGGCATTTTCCACCTATATAGATGACATTACCATTACAATTTGTGAATGTCAATAATTTGGTAAAATAGCAATAGCACTTAGACTTATATACCACTTCACAGTGCTTTCCAGCCCTCTCAAAGCAGCTTACAGAGTCAGTCAATTGCCCCCAACAATCTGGGTCCTCATTTTACCCACCTTGGAAGGATGGAAGGCTGAGCCTGGTGAGATTTGAACTGCCAAGTTGCAGGCAGCCTGCAATCAACAGAAGTAGCCTGCAGTACTTTACTCTAACCACTGTGCCACCACAGCTCTGTGGTGTATGCATTTGCATGTTTTTGTGCATGGGGACTGGATAGACCATACTTGAATCCAACGAAGTTCACCCATCTCTCCTCTGATATTTGTAGCACCTTCCTTTTTTCATCTCCCTTAGTTTGCCACCTGCTCCTTCTCCCCTTGAATTTAAGAGTAGCAAATCCAACCCTACCCTTGATCTTTCCTGGATTTGTCTTCTTGTACTTCCTCTTAGCTACCAACACTAAGCTGCTGTTGGCTTTGTCTTTTTCCTGCTCTCCCTACTCTGAAATACTTTCCAACTTTTTCCATTGAGAAATATCTATTTCAGATTCTACATAAATATGAGAGTGGGGGCTCTGTACTCAACACAATTTGTGCATTGGATGTTTGCAGGGCCTTACTTGCATCCCAATGTCGTTTATTTTTCAATTTTAGGCAACTCATATCTGTTTGTTTTTTCAAACTTAATGAATATGGGATTCAGTGGACAATTATATAACTAGCAATTCTGACTGCTTGATGAAATTTTTTTTGGAGAGGGTATTATTTACGATCACCCACATAGTGCTTATTTTCAAGATTATTGCTTTTCAAATATAGAAAAGCAACTAATTAAAAAAGCACATGCATATTTTGTTAAAGCAGCCTGGAATATGGGAAGTTTAGAATATTGTATGAGCTTGATGTTAGTTAGGGTTGGCTGATTGGTTGAAAATTATTCAATAAAAAGTGCATTAAAACTGAGGAAAAGTCCAATAAAGGACTAATCAAAGGGCCATTAAAATAAATGTAATTTTATTGACTTCACTGAGACTTTAAAATCTTTGTTTTAAAGCAAAACCATTTTATGTAGCAGTGCATGACATCACTCCAAAAAAGTTTAAAAATAACAGGGGAGGCTACAATTTTACTGTATATTTTTACTATATACACTTACTGTATGTACTGTTTGCAAACCAATAGCAATAATCCAATTCTTTTTCTTGCACTGAGCAACTGAAATGTATGGGTAAAATATTGTGTGAGATTATATTGCCAGGTAGTTTATCAGTTCATATCTCTGCATTATCCCCTCTCTCTATTTGCAGGAATTGTAAAGTGTCACTATAAAGTGTACCCTGCAGAGTACCCTTTAAAATGAATATCTAAATATTGTGCAAATGTGTTCAGTGATTTGATTTGTAAATTGTTTTCTGCAAATTTTAAAATTATATTTAATTATGTGTCGTATATACCTCTTTCCATTCAAAAATGTAACAAAGTGGTTTACTTAAAAATATTTTCAGATTCAATAAAATATAACAGTATAGTGGAAACAATGAAAATGTAACTGAATAATTACTGGAGCAGCTGACCAAAATGCAGATTGGAAATAAAAAACAAGCATAGTTTATTTAAAATTATGGAAGTAAACTGATTATTATGAAATCAAGTTTAATCTCTACATTTAATCTGACAACAATGTCAGCTCCTCTCTAACCTCCAATAATATTATGATTCAATATGCAACGAACATCAGTAGCAAAATGTGTAAGTTTGCTGCGGAAATGATTTGAGTGCTGAATATAAATTTCTGTTATTAATTTATTTATTACATTTGTATAGATACCCATCTTAAAACCAAATCTGCAACCAATGGAAACAATATTTACAGCTATATATGCAAAGAGGACAACAGAACCAAAACCAGAGAAACCTGGCACCACAAACCATCCTTGATGAACCCACCGAATCAGGGATGGGATTCAAATTTTTTAACAACCGGTTCTGTGGGCATGGCTAGGTGGAAATGGCTAGGTGGGTGTGTCCATGTGACTGGATAGGTGTGCCTTCTATTTTTTGCAGCAGCACCCCCCCCCCCATTATTTTTTGCCTCCTGGCCCCAGGGAATCCTCCTTTTGCTTCCCGGAAGTTTCCCTGGGGCCCAGGAAGGCAAAAAATGGAGCACAGAGGGGGGTGCACAGGCCCCCTCATTCCTATTTTGCCTCCTGGGCCTCAGAGAAACCTCCTGGGTGAAGCAGTAAGACAGCGAGGGGGATCCTGGCACAGCTGATCATCAGAACAGCTGATTGTCGGGAGGGGGGAAAAAATAAATAACTTGAGGAATGACAGGGCGGGGGAGAACGCTGTCAGCGATGTCGGGCAGGTGCATGATGTTGCACATGCGTGATAAGGAGTAACAGGGAGGGGGGCGGGTGGAGAGGGGCTGGGCCAGACAGGGGCACAATTGGCCAGTTTTCTGAACTGTGCAGAATCATAACAGGTTCTATAGAACTGGGCCGAACCGGTAGAATCCCACCCCTGCACAGAATTCTTATCCTGCTGTCACCTTAGTATTTAGGGAATACTATCTCAGTATTTAGGGGAAAAGCAGGTTTTAAGTGCTCTCCAGTAGGATAAAAGGGTGGAGGCTTATCAGATATCAAGGAGAAATATGAACCATGAGGCAAGGGCTGCAACAGGAAAGGAACATTTCCCAGGAGCCAGGTGGTAGAAATGTTTAAGGGAAGGGACCTGGAGTATGTCTACCCTATCTGCTTTAGTGGGATGGGCAGATAGCCTCAGTGAGATAGTCTGGTCCTGTGCCATTGAGGACTTTAAATGTGATAAACCTTGAATTGTAGCCCAAAAGAAACTGTGAGCCAATGCAGCTCATGCAACAGGGTGTAATAAAGGAACCTAGGAATGTCCAACCTACACATTCTGGACCAATGTAACATTGTATGGCTTCAAAGGCAGCCCCAGTTAGAGGGCATTGCAGTAATCCAAATGGCTTCCCAGTCCAGAAAAGGACACCATTGGGATAAACTAAACTAAGGAGTCCTTTGCAGGTTTGCCAGTTCATATATTTTGGCCCTCCAAAAGTACCTGAAGACTTGGCTCTGCCAACTGGCCTGGAGTTAGGAGATGATTCATTCTGGAGGCGATTAACGGACTGGACAAGACTCCCACCTTCCTCCCATGTGCACCTTGTTCCCATCCTTCCCCTATTGTCAATTTTAAATTAATTTAATGTGATTGTTTAATGTTTTTTCATGGTTTCTAATTGAATAAATACAAGTTGAATAAATAAATGTATTCTTGAAGGCTAATTCAAGGTGCAGTAAACACCTGTTAGAGGACTTTCAGGTTTCTTTGAAAAACAAAGTAAACCCTGTTAGCGTAAAATTGTTCTGTTCTGTTTTAGCTGAATACAATTTCAAAACTACTGTCTTTCATATTATACTTTGTGTGACATAACAGAAGTAATTTCTAAGCTAGCCAAATGAGAAGTAGATAAATAAAAGTTTCCGTTGATTATAAGGATGAGAAGTGAAAGGCAGAAAGTTCTCTTGTAACTTCAATTGCTTTCAATTACATGTGTGATTTTGGTACATTATTTATTATGTAGTCTGCATTATTTATATTTCTTTGATTTCTCCTGAAGTAACTTCCCAAAGGCAAAATGGATTCAATGATGCATCGAGCAAAACTCTGGACAAAAAAGGTTTGTGCAGTAATAAATGTGCTAAAATGGCAAACGTTTCTTTGTTTTGTAGCAGCAAATTAATACCACAATTATTCTGGAAAATCTTTTAGAATACTTTTATCCTTAAGGATATTATATGACAGTTTCCCCACTTTTCATAGATGATTTAAAAGTTAAGTGTTCATAATTAATTTAAAATAAAGTTTTCCTTTTAGGCTCAATTTCCTGGAGCAATGCTCAGTAGAATGCCTCTTGATTTTATGAAAACACACATGGGATTGCTTGGAAAGTAAAACTTTGGTTCCATTAAAGTAATTAATTAGTTTTCAAAAAATGTATTTATCAGAATTTTAAAAGAAAAAAAATAGTACACAAAATTACCCTCTCACACATAGTGTACCTATGCATGTACTCTTTTCTTATTCTTTTCTGAAGTTCTATTAAATGTATACTGTAGACAGAGTAATATAAAAAGTTTCATCTATTGTTATAATTACAGAACTATCCCCTTGCTACTGATTTTCATTCCACTGACCAAAAGTGCAGACCTATACATTGAATTCAATGCGGTACCATGATAATATCCCTTCCTGAGCAAAGGGACACAGATTATGAACATAGGAAATTCACATTGAATCAGACCATTCATTTCTCTAGCACTGCATTGTCAGCACTGTTTAGCAGTGATTCTCCAATCTTTCAGTAGAGGTTTATCCAGCTCTAGTTGACAAAGTCAAAGACTGCACCAGTGTTTTTCAACTTTAAGATATGTGGACTTCAACTCTCAGAATTCAGCAGCCAGCATTGATATCCTCACACCTTAAAGTTGCTAAGCAATAGCAATAGCACTTAGACTATACACCGTTTCACGGTGCTTTTTTCAGCTCTCTCTCTAAGCATTTACAGAGTCAACGTATTGCTCCCAACTATCTGGGTCATCATTTTACTGACGTTGAAAGGATGGAAGGCTGAGTCAACCTTGAGCCTGGTGAGAATTGAACTGCCAAATTGTAGCCAGCAGTCAGCAGAAGTAGCCTGCAGTACTGCATTCTAACCACGGTGCCTCTACAGCTCTTAAGGTTGAGAAATACTGTGCAAGGACATACAGCTATATACAGGCAGTCCTTAACTTACAACAACTTGTTTGATGACTGTTTGAAGTTACTATGGCACTGAAAAAAATGACTTATGACTATTTTTCACATCTATGACTTTTGCAGCATCTCCATGATCATGTAATTTACCTTTGGGTGCTTGACAACTGACTCACATTTATGATGGTTGCAGTGTCCTGGGGTCATGTGAACACCTTTTGCAGCCTTCTGACATGCAAAGTCAATGGGGAAACCCATTGGGGAAGATCCACTTTACGATCATGTTAGTGATTTAACAACTGCAGTGATTCACTTAACAATTGTGGCAAGAATAGTTGTAAAATGTGGCAAAACTCACTTAACAATGTCTCACCTAGCAACAGTAAATTTGGGGCTCAGTTGTGGTCAAAAGCTAAGAACTACCTGTAGTCTACAGCTTAATTTATCAGGGCTGCTTAGGTTAATATAATGTTCGTAACCTTTTTCTTTGGCCAACTGGGATGTTGGTTTGTTTTCTTAATAATTTTTTGTTACCACCAGTAAGTTCTGTTTGAAAATGAAAGATGCTGCAAAATGTAATTTATTCCACTCTATGATATACTGAAATCAAGACACTACAACTTTAGTTGCTCAAGGACCAGTGGTAAACCTTGCACTGTGCATAAAGGAACATATTCTATAAATTGGTGGAGTTAGCATCTATTTTCTCCCAAACAATTAATATTTTTAAAAAATCAGTTTTAGAGCTTTTCTGACTTTGAAGGCTGGATGTAAGCATGTGATGCAATACTTTTTGTATCTCTTATGTAGGTAATGCCAAGAGGCCCTTTTATATTAAGAATACATATAATTAGAGCCTCAGCTAAAAGTTCCAAAAGAACACCACACATTAACATCTATGAAAGATGGTTATTAGCTAGAATGGCAGATTGTCTGTTTCCTTGGCTTTCAAAGAGCAATGCCATGTGTTTTGAAAATACAGCAACTCCATGTGTTTTCAGTCTGGACTGTCATTGGGATGAAATTCAATAGTTTCAAAGCGTTAGTGTTCCAGAAGTCTTATAACGAATGAGCAGACAATCCTCTAAAGCACATTATATTAAGTCAGATTTCTCCAACCTGGTGCCAGTCAGACACAGCAAACTAAAACCCTTTTCTGGGGGCCTATCGACATAGTAAAACTGCATGGGTTTATATCAGCTTTGCTCTCTAATCAAAATACTGCAGGCCAAGGCAGCTCACAAACTATTCTTTTGTCATCATTACTATGCTGATGCATGAAAAGAACAACCTCTGAAGAATCTCATGCCACATGGCTCACTTCCCTAAGCAAAATAATCTAAATTAACTGCAGGGTCTCCCATATACATATATGCATATTTCAGTCATAATTCCTAGTTTGGATAGTAGGGAAAGTTGTGTGTCTCAACCTTGGCCAGGTATGGCTTGCTGGGGAATTCTGGGAGTTGAACACTACACAACTTCAAGAGAATTACACAACTTCAAGTGCCCAAGATTGAGATACACTGGTCCAGAGGATTGGATGCTGGAGTGAAAGGTCTAGACTCTACACTGAGATATTCTTTCCTTCACAGCTATAGTGAGGCTTTTCTCAAGAATTGTTGAATTTGTATGTAGCTATTCCTTTGATAAAGTTTTCACTTGTTAAAGGGTAGCTTCTTCATTTGCTCAGTTTGCTTACTGGATCATTTAATAATCTACATATGGAACAGCACAAGGGGACAGCAAATCATTTTGTCAAGGCCACCCTTCAGACGTGATTCTAATTGTGTGAAGCCTTGATGATTCAGTTCATGGTTTGTATTTCTCTGATGACTTTTTATGGCATGTTCAATAATGGGAATACATTTAACATCTTCTTTCACTTCCAATAACTCACTGTAACAACTATAAACCATTGGAAGAAAGCAATACAGAAGTCTCACTTATTTTTTTAAAGTTGGAATGGGGAGAACCTATTGCTTTAGAAACAGCTTTGAAAGAGTGCTTCACTTAAAGCATCACCAAAGTGAAATCCCTCTTCAGGACTTGCATAAGACAAGGAGGTCTTCCTATGTCACTGGAACATTCCAAAGCCTTTGTGGGTCTGTGTTGCCTTGTATATCTAGTTATTTGATTCCATAACCTGGTGTGAGCTATCCTTGGTGCTCTCTAAGCTTGGTTGTTTTCTTCTAGACATTTCATTACCCAAGCTAAGTAACATCACCAATGCTAGTAAGGAATACACTCAATTATATGCCAGTGGCTTGCCCTGTTAGTGTTGGTAGGAGGGACTTTGGTGGACATAGATTGTTTACTGTTAGCTTGTTTGGAAGTTCCTTGATTGGAGTATTGTTTGATCATTGGTCTGATCTTAAACTTGGTGTTGTTGTTGATGATGATGTTACCTAGCTTGGGTAATGAAACGTCTGCAAGAAAACAACTAAGCTCAGAGAGCATTTCAACCCTGAGCTATACCTATGTTTATTTTTGTTAAGCTTCTTTCTTGTTGGCTTTCCTCATTCCAACAAATTTAGTATTTTGGAAATTAAACTGATGCATCACAGATAAATGACACTGGATCCATGGAAGCATGGAAGCAGAATATTAGTGAGACCATCTCCTTAAGCAATGGATAGATGTTAAATTATGAAATTAAAATTCCTTGCTAATAGCAATAGCACAAAGACTTATATTCACAGTATTTTACAGCCTTCCCTAAGCAGTTTACAGAGTCAGCCTATTGCCCTCAACAAACTGGGTCCTCATTTTACTGCATAACTCTATGCACTTGTTGGTAAACAATATATTACCAACTTGGAAGCGACTGTGTTTAAAAGAAATTGTATGCGTTTAAACACACTCATACCCCCAGTTTACAATATGCCGAAACAAATTCTACTAGGAGTGATCAATAGCTTTTGCATGTTTCCAATGCTGTTGCTTGTCAGGGGATGGAACAATGAATTACCTGCTCAGGTTAAAATTGCACTTCCATGCCTAATCTTTGTAATAGGAATAAACTGTACTTACTTCATCCCACTGAACTCAGTAACCCAATTCACACAAGGCAGTTATTTATGTATGAATATGCTAGGAATCTGTAAAGGAGGTGAAGAGAAGACACATGCAATTGTCTTTTACACAGGTGATATTTTGTGCAAAGAAATGACAGGAGCCTAGATAAAAAAAATATGTGAGTGTGAACCATTCCCACAGGTATCACAGCTAGTTCTTGAAGTACATTATCAGGGGTAACATACAGGCAATCCTTGATTTACAACAGTTCATTTAAGGGCCGTTTGAAGTTACAACGGGACTGAAAAAAAGTGAATTATGACCATTTTTATACATAGGACTGTTGCAGCATCCTCATGGTAACATGATCAATTGACTCATATTTATGATGGTTGCAGGGTCATGTGATCCCCTTTTTGCAACCTTCTGACAAGCAAAGTCAATGAGGGAGCCAGATTCACTTAACGAGCGTGTTACCAACTTAACAACTGCAGTCATTCACTTAGCAAATGTGGCAAGGAAAGTTGTAAAATGGGGCAAAACTCACTTAAAAAATGTCTTGCTTAGCAATAAAAAATTTGGGACTCCATTGTGACTGTAAGTGAAGGATTACTTGTAGTTTCCCAAAGGCCAGACAAGGAACAACAGATGGAAACCAAACAAGGAAAGATTTAACCTGGAAACAAGGAGAAACTTTCTGACAGTGAGAACAATCAACCAATAGAACAGCTTTGCCCTTGGAGGTTGTGGGAGCACCATCACTTGAGACTTTCAAGAAGAGATTGGACCGCCATTTGTCAGAAATGGTGTAGGGTCTCCCACTTGGGCGGGGGCTTGGACTAGATGACCTATAAGGGCCCCTCCAATTCTGATTATCTGTTATTTATCTGTTTCTGTCCTTTCTGGCTTTGCTCCAAATCTTTCCAATTCTAGAACTCTTTCCATGTAGAAACACTTCCACAGAAGTATGATTTTTCACTCCCTAAATCTTAGAAGCATTTTTGAGCTTTCCTGAGAGTATCCTTATCACTCCTGGTCTCATAATTCAGAGAACCTTTCCTGAGGTGATCAGCACACCCTCAACTAGCCAAGGCAGGAGCGGCATTAAAAAAATCTGAGGAGAATTGCTGTATAACGGCCCTTTCTCTTCATTCCTATGATTTATATTCCGTCTTTCCACATAACAATCCTACTGAAGCCACACACAATTCAGAAAAGCAGCCTTACAATTATCCTATAAGCCCCAGTGAAATATTCCTATGGGATAACACCATGCAACAGATTTCAGAAACATGTTTTATTTGAATTATCGAGTTTACAGACTTTGCTGCAGAGACTTGGAAACAAACAAAAAGGGCCTAAAGACACTTGAGAGGTTTGGAATGGTTTATGGCTCTAAGTTTACATGAATGAGAACGTTGTAATTAGTATATCTGAAAGTGGAGAACAATTTTGGCAGCTGATGTATGGTGCAATATTTAACTATTTATCTTTTCAGTTTGTTCACTTACCACAATGCTGTTGGTAACAGTCCAATATGTGGCCATTCCCGAAGCACAGAAAACCACAGTAAAACAGAAGAAACACTACAATAAAAAACACACCAAAATAATTCCTTAGTAAGCCTTGCTACTTCAAATACTGTATTTAGTGTATATATACTTCAACATACAAACATCACAGCGATAAACAGAACAAAAATCTACTTATTGATAAAAAAACAGTATTTCTTCTATTTCCTTCAATTAATTTCAAACCTAGTGTACATAACTGATTTAAATTGAAAGACATGGCGGTGTAATTTTTCCTCTAAGAGCAAATGGATTTTTCTGCCTGCCTGTGAATGAGCGGGTGTATAGAAAGTATTTTGGCTTAAGGTTTCCCTTGTTCTTTTGTTAGGTTGGGCCAAAAGTGAGGGATTAGCTCAGTTACCCAAGAAACTTCCATGGCTGGAGACAGACTTCAATCTGGATCTTCCTTGATGTTGTCTAACAGTCAAAACTTTGCACTGGTCTTCAGTTTTTTTTTTCATTTTCTTTATTTTTTATACATTAAAGCAACCAGAAATCTGATAACATAAAAGGAATGTGAGCAACATATGATTAGAAGGACATATATCACTTTGTAAATATGTTTTTTTCTTAGAAGTTCATGTATTTGAACAAAAATGACAAAAGTGACAGTAAAAGTGATACTGAAGTCAAGTTTTAATCAGCTAAAATGCTTTAAGTTAAATGAAGTGCAGCAGTTATCGCTTTCGGCTCTACATATTATTTCCACTCATGTTCTTTCTAAATGTTTTCCTATATTTCTTCCTAAGAACAATCTTCATTTTTTTATTTCAATGTTTTTGTGCAGGACTTAATTTCAGTGGGTTAGGTCATGAATAAAGCAGTTATTTTTTGAATAAAAGAAAGCAGTCACTTTAGTTTCTTGTGATGTACTTGGTTTGTTACAGTAGATTGGCAAAATAAAAATGAACAAAATTGTGGAAACGATTGAAGGAAAAGCAGGGCAATTAATTGAATAAATATGAAATTATTATCTCTATGTAGGAAACCCAACAGAGCAAAATCCTGCTGACTGCCAAGCTCTTAAAACTCCTTTTCAGAACTTGGCCAGTTTGCTCAGACCAGATTTTATTTATATACAATCAAGTCCATGCATGGAAAAAAGGAAATGCATTTTTTTAAAATGTCTGATTTAAATATCCATGACAACCAGTTGAAGTCACGAGTTGTGAGATCAAAGAGATGAAGCAATCTACTATTCAACAAAATTACGTTCACTGCATTTCCAGAATACATTTCAAAATCGCTTTTTCAGCAATATCCTTGTTAAAGCAAAGTAAGCATCACAAAAAAGGAAACCTTTGCAGTTTGTAGTTCTCTTATTTAAACTATAAAATCAGATGGCGATCTAGAAATCTGACTTGGAATTTTTCTGAATGAATACTCATTACATCCTTTGGATGGACATATTGCAGGATCCTCTGCCTTAAGAGTTTTGGGCCTATGTGAGAAATGAGGCGTTATCCCCCCGATATCCTTTGGAAAATCTCCTACCAAAAATCCAGAAAATACTGTTTCTCCTGAACTTCAGGAAGACTTTGAAAATAGGGCTACTTAGAAACACATACAAATGCTGATTTCTGGTCACTGAATGCCTGTATTAATTTTATTACTGATGTGTAAATCTATTGGGTTTGATTAGTTACACAGGATCAATCTGAGTTGGTCACTGGGACCAAAGGTTTGATCCTCCAAACTTTCAGACTTGTGTTGAAAGGAATTTCTCTTTCAACTGAATGTAACACAACATGAGCCTGAAAGCTTGGAAAACTAAATCTTTGGTCCTGGTGACCAACCCAGATTGGATCCTAGGATATGTATATTTGCCTTTATTCATTGTTTAATTATGTTGATTTATATGAATTGTAATGACATGTTTTGATTTTTATTGTGGATTGCCATGAGTCTTTTGGAAGCACATTGACATAAAGTTAGTAAGTAAATACATCAATCCATCAGGCCTGGAGGTGATTTATAAATCTAAAATATATACACAGCCTGCCTGACATGGTCTTAAAACCACCCTGATGACTGTTTAATTCATTAGAGTTTATGAGCTATGTCCCCCGACCTCTACCAGTTTTAACTGTATTTTGTTTGGAAGGATGTTCTGCTTTCATTGTATCATTGCACAAAAGCGTTGATCACTATTTTTATTAAACAAATTTATACAGCCGCCCACTCAGATTTGTACCACTCACTTTCAATTGGACTGAGCCAAACTGAATCATCTTCAAAACACAAAAATGAGTTTCCAAACCAAATTTTATCATGCTGAATCAGTGGTGGGATTCAAAACTTTTTACTACTAGTTATGTTGGTGTGGCTTAGTAGATATGGTGTGGCTTAGTGGGCATGAGTTAGTGGGTGGCAGGGGAAGGCTGCTGTGAAATCTCCATTCCAACCTGTTCTGACCAGAGGTGGTATTCAGCAAGTTCTGACCAGTTCTGGAGAACTGGTAGTGGAAATTTGGAGTAGTTCGGAGAACTGGCAAATACCACCTCTGACTGGATATTTTACAGTATCCTTCCACTGCCACGCCCACCAAGTCACACCCACAGAACAGGTACTAAAAAATATTGAATCCCACCACTGGTTCTGACCCAAACTCTTTTCCAATAAGACAAACAATAACCAAAGGGAACAGAAACCTTTTAATGAGTCTTACGAATCCCTGGTTAAAAGGCTGCTGCAAACTAATTAACTTTGATAAGCACAAACCTTGCCAAAACTGTACGAGACTGCCAAGAATCACAAAAAATATTTCACAACACAAGAGTCTTCAAATACCAACTTAAAATACTGTAATGTCCATGATGCTGAGTTTCAAAACGTCTTTGCTACCTGCAAAGAACGTTCACTTCACAGCTGCCTTTTATCTTCTTGAAGGGGAGGCCATTACCATACAGCCTTACTCCCGAGTCTCCTGTACTGTTGCAGCTGCTCTTTCCTGCAAGAAATCCTGCATGCATGCACACTTGGCACAGGCTCCTCGGGAACCTCCTCATCACTGCTGCCAGCCCCCACCATCTCTAAAGGCATCAGTCCACTTCCTAATGGTCCTGGCCCCTCATCTGAGTCCTCGCTCTCCTCAGCCATCTATACCTGCTGCCAGCTAACCACAACACCACCACACTCTAGGGGAAGAATACTGTAAAATCTCCATTCCCTTCCCATCCCACTAACCTGCTTTCCAGCTCCATTCTCCTGTGCAGGGCAACAAAAGAAGATCCAGCCAATCAGCTGGGACTCAGGAGGCAGGGAATAGATGGGGTTGGGATGAGTCAGAGATGTATTTGCCGGGTTTCCAAACTATTGAAAATTTCTGCTACCAGTTCTCCAGAACTGGTCAGAACATGCTGAATACCACCTCTGATGCTGATCACTACTCTTGTGACATAAAACTGTTGATGTTGCTAGGAAAGCTATCAGTTCTAGGTACTGTACATGCACATTAATCTCACCTGAATCATATAAAGTAATACATTCAGTATATGGATCTATTGCAGGTGATTAAGTTTTCTTTGCAACATAATGCAAACAGTTTCAGCATGTACACTAAGTCAGCTAAACCAAGATGTTTACCTTTTCTTCTGCAAGAAGCTTTTACTTGTCATAATTACCAGTTCTCAGACTGGTTACAAAATCCACTAATTAATCCCTTGACAGGAAAAAATATACTGCAGCTTATTAGGCCAGTATGTTGTTCTTTACTTTTTCATAGTAACTGGAATATACCCTGTTTCTCCAACAATATGGCCTCCCCTAATAGGAAGTCCCAGCATGTTTTATAGGCATGAAATGAAATTAAGCCCCTCCCCCAAATTAAGGCCTATATTAAAACATGCGAAATGGGGGGAATGGTGGGCTTGCCGTTAGGAAGTACTTTTGTTGCACACCCGGATATGGTGCTGCCTGCGTTGACCCCGATATGAAGTGACCCACCAACGCCGAGGTCAACATCCATGCCATCGCCACCTGTCCAAAGATGCAAGGGGGGGGAATTAAGTCACCCCCAAAAAGATGGCCTAGCCATTTGGGGGGGGGGGGGGGGC